ATTACTTATTTTATCATTATCCGTTATTATATTATTATATTATTATTATTATTATCATTATTATATTAATTATATTACTATTCTTTTTATTTTTTAAAGTAATGCCTCCCAAACTCTCATCAACTTGAAACTGACACAACAAATTACGTTTCCCAAGCAAGGTCCAAGATATGAAAAAAAAACGAAAATTAGAAAAAGAATAAGCTAAGAACACACGCACACACAAAGAGGAAGAGGAAAGAAGGAAAAAGAGAGGAACAATGATAATAATGATAATAATAATAATGATAATGTCATAATAATGATAATACTAATACGAAAAATTGTGATAAAAAATACTACTGCCACTACTACTGTACTACTACTAGTAATGATAAAGATAAATGATGATAATGATAATGATAACGATAATAAAGATAACAATGAAAGCAATAATAATAATAATTATAATAATAATAATAATAATAATGATAATAATAATAATAATATAAATAATAATAATAATAATAATAAATACAATAACAATAACAAGCAAAAACAAGAGCGAAGAAGAGGAAAATAAGAGGAAGAAATCGCAAAGAAGAAATTGAAGATTTAGAAGCCCCGCCGAGCCTCACCCTGGACGCAGCAGACGCAGCCCCCCCCGCGGCACTCGACCCCCTCCAGCACCTGCTCGTCCCCCCCGCAGCTGACGTCACAGCGACCCCCCACGTCGCGGCACATCGTTGAGTCTGGGCACGTTGTTGGTTCGTCTTTGCGATAGAAATAAATGGATAAACGAACAAAGGAGAAATAAATAAAGAGAACATGACAAAAAACAGCTTAGTACTGATGTGTTCGTTAAAATATAGTTTTCTTCTTTTTTTTTGATTTTTTCTTCTGATGTTATTTATTTGTTTAGGCATTCGTTTTTTTGTTTGTTAAATGCCTTTTTTTTACGTACATATCTCATATAATCAACTGTCTATCCATTAATCTATTTGTTAATCTATTTATTCATTTGTTTTTACTTATATGTTAATTTGTTCACTCATTGATCTATCTATCTACTTGTTTATTTTGGCATTGTTCGGAATACTTCTTCCTGTAGAGGGATACAAGCAGTCTCTTTTGCGAGCCCGAGTGAGTCCAAGGAAGCCGCAGCCACTCACCCGGCACGCAGCAGAGGCAGTGCTCTCCGTGGCAGACGCCCTCGACGGCTCGCTCGCCTCGGCCGCACGTGGCGTTGCATCTGCCGCCCAGGACGTTGCAGCAGTTGCTCTGCTCACACGGGGCTGGTGAAGGCGGGGACAGATGAGGCAGGAGATGGGACTCAGTGCGTCAACTAACAGGCAGGAGATGAAGAATATTGACAGACAGATATGCACACACACACACACACACACACACACACACACGCGCGCCCCCCGTACCCTTGGCGCAGCACTGGCACGCTCCTTCGCACACGCCCTCGATGGGCTCCTCGCCTTCGTAGCACATCTTGCCGCAGCTTCCGCCGAAGGCTTCGCAGCACTTGGTCTGGTTGCAGTTGTCTGTCGGGGAAGGATGCAACAGGGACTGCAGCACGAACGCGTGTCGGGGTTATTGCATTTAACAAGATGTGAGAATGAGTGAATATTTTTCATGCTAACTTTGGAAAGTCGACATAAATATCGAACAATTGTGATTGCTTCCTGTACCAACTGGATCCATCGACGAGAAAGCCAGTGTATCTCTGGAGAGCTAAATAGGGGAATAAATGAATGAATCGCCGTCAAATACACTTAAACAGACACTTGAGCACATGCACTTACTCTTGACACAGCAGGTGCAGTTCTCGCCTCCGCAGAGCCACGGGACGGCCAGCTCGTCCGCCTCACAGCTCTCCACGCAGCGCCCGTCCAGCGCCTGGCACTTGGGGCTCTGGGCACTTGTCTGGGGGGGGGGGGGGGGACGGGTGACCGGTTAGTCTATCCGGAACAGGCATTTGAAGAATAAATTGGTGTGAATATATATAAAACTGGAGCAAAAAAATATAATGATTCACAAAAATAATTGGAAAATAGAAATTATTTCATTGATAGTAAGAATATGAATACTAGATCAGTGAAACAAAACAGCAAATTTCACACTCAAATCCTGCCAGCCGAAAACAAGCCAGATTAAAAACAAAGAATATTACAAATCACAGAATATAATTAATCAGAAGCTATTTGCAAGCTTGAAATATTGCAGATTTATAATCAAGAATAGACCATTTCTGGAATTCATTATATAACAAATAATTAACTGAGATGATACCGACTGGTAAACCTATGGTAAAACAAACAAGTAAAACAAAAGTATATCAAAGATGGGAACATGTAATTACCTTGGAAGCAGCAAAGGCAGTCTCCAACACAAAGACCTTCTTCTGCAACTTCTCCATCGCTGCAAGCCCGGTCGCATCTCCCTCCGGCATAATTGCAGCATTTGCTTTGCTTGCACTCCTCTGTTGCAAAGAAAACTTTCACGATGTCAAGAAATCGAAAACAAAAGGATAAAAAAACAATAGAAAAATCATAAGAAAAAATATAAGAAGGAAAAAAAGGAAAGAAGAATTAGAAAACTAGGAAAATCACAATAAAAATGAAAAGAAGAAAAAAAAAAAAAAAAATCAAATGACAAGAAAAATGAAAACAAGACGGCAGGAAAAACAAAAACAAGATGACAAGAAGAAAAAAAGACCACAAAAAAAGTAATCCACCTTGTAAGCCCATAGACATTATCATAAACGAAGTACCTATAACACCTACAACATCTATAAATCCCCCATACGAAAATAAATCACCAACATCGATGAACATTCTATCCAAATACCACAACTCATAATCCTGCTGACCGCTTTAGCTCAACATTACCTTTGACACAACAAGAACAGTTTTCCGCATGACAGAGGTCAGGCAGAGGAACCTCATCATCCGCGCATGACGAGTTGCAGTGACCGTCAAGGAAGGCACAGCTGATCGGAGTCTCGCAAGGATCTGTCAAGGGTGTCATGGATACCAATCGATCGATATTCGAATCTGAGATTGTATTGGGAATATTCTCGCAATAATGATTTTATGAGGATGATGATGGTGGTGGCGGTGATGATGATGATGATTGATGATGCTGATGATGTTGATGATGATGTTGATGTTGATGATGTGTTGATGTTGATGTTGATGATTGAATGTTGATGTTGATGATGATGTTGATGATGATGTTGATTGTTGATGTTGATGTTGTTGAGTTGGATGTTGATGTTGATGTTGATGTTGATGTTGGATGTTGATGTTGATGATGATTTGATGATGATGTTGATGCGTTGGTGTTGATGATGTTGATGTTGATGTTGATGATGTTGATGTTGATGTGATGTTGATGATGATGTTGATGTTGATGTTGATGTTGATGTTGATTTGATGATGTTGATGTGATGATGATGATGTTGATGTTGATGTTGATGTTGATGTTGATTGATGTTGATGTTGATGTTGATGTTGATTGATGTTGATGATGTGATGATGTTGATGTTGATGTTGATGTTTGATGATTGATGTTGATGATGATGTTGATGTTGATGTTGATTGTTGATGTTGATGTTGATGTTGATGATGATGTTGATGATGATGTTGATGTTGATGTTGATGTTGATGATGTTGATGTTGATGTTGATGTTGATGTTGATGTTGATGTTGATGATGATGTTGATGATGATGTGTGATGTTGATTGATGTTGATGTTGATGTTGATGTTGATGTTGATGTTGATGTTGATGTTTGATGTGATGTTGATGTTGTTGATGTTGATGTTGATGTTGGATGATGATGTTGATGTTGATGTTGATGTGTTGAATGTTGATTGATGTTGATGTTGATGTTGATGTTGATGTTGATGTTGATGAGATGTTGATGATGATGTTGATGATGATGTTGATGATGGATGTTGATGTTGATGTTGGATGTTGATGTTGATGTTGGATGATGGTTGATGATGATGTTGATATGATGTTGATGTTGATGTTGATGTTTGATGTTGATGTTGAATGATGAATATGTTGATTTGATGATGTTGATGACGTTGATGTGATGTTGATGTTGATATTGAGTTTGATGATGATGTTGATGTTGATGTTGATGTTGTTGACGTTGATGTTGATGATGACGTTGATTGTTTGAGTGTTGATGTTGATTAATGATGTTGATGTTGATGTGATGTTGAATGTTGATGTTGAATGTTGATGGATGATGAGTAATCATAATAATAGTAATAATAATGATGACGATGATGATAGTGATAGTAATAACATTAATAATGATGATGATGATGAAGTAGTAATAGTAATGATAATAAGGATAATGATGATAATAATAGTAATGATAATATTATCAATAACAATAACAATAATAATAATAGTACTAATAAAAAAGGAAAAAAAAATAAAGAAATGAAAGTGAAACTGAATAATAACAATAATGAAAATGGTAATGATAATAATAATGATAATAATAAATGATAATAAAATAACAAAACCGAAAATCAGCATTTCATAAAAAAATCAAAAACCCTGTACTGGTGAACGCGCGAGGGCCTCACTCTGGACGCAGCAGACGCAGCCGTCGTGACAGCGGCCCTCGAGAGGACTCAGCGCCCCTTCGCAGCCCTTGGAGCAGTTGCCGGCGACGTCGTGGCACTCGATTGTCTGGCGGCAGGGGGGGTCTGGGGCGCGGGGGGGGGGGGGGGGGGGGGGGCGGGCGTTAGATTAGCAAAAGTATTTTTGGTTATTTTGGCACAAAGTATATATTGTTTGGGTTATTTTGCACAAAGCATAATTGTTTGTCATTTTGCACAAAGTAAATTGTTTGGTTATTTTTGCACAAAGTATAATTGTTTGGTTATTTTTGCACAAAGCATAATTGTTTTGGTTATTTTTGCGCAAAGTATAATTGTTTGGTTATTTGCACAAAGTATAAATTGTTTGGTCATTTGCACAAAGT